GAGTACATTTATATACATGTTTTAGCCAGAATGATTTGATATTTAAATATGACTTCCCTACAACTATGACTGTGATTTGAGGCCACTGTAACAGAAAGCCAGCCTGGTTGCTAAGCAGCTGCTTCTGTAAGCCTAACCAACTTCTCTGAGAAATCACTTACAATTTCTATCATAGTTATTTTAATACATATACATTGTGAAGTATTATCGAAAGAATTTGTGCTGAGTGATGTCTTCTCAGGAAAGAATCGGGGAGAGAAAACTTAAAGGTGTAAACAAATGTTGACAAGCATGTTTCTTTTTAGCTTCAAAACACTTCATCTGAAATTGAACGACTTTGTATTTCCGTTCAGCAATATATAACTTCAGCTACACATCATGCATACCTTTATTAAAATACTTTTCTTCATAAAGCACATACTATTGCTTATTTCTTGCTATAACTTTGTCATAAGATTAATTAACAGTTTGTTTCATAGATTTTTTTTCGAGGTTGTTCTTTTCAGGAGGTAACCTTCACTAAACAAATAATTTCTACAAGAACTATAAATGAATATCTGTTTTGTCGGGTTTGATTTAACTGGCTCTTCCTCTTCACATCCGAGAAACAGCACAGAGTTTATGAGGTAAAGGGCCAAGAGTGACGCCTCCTTGTGCAGTCAGAACCAGTTCGTCTTCTGTGACTCCGGGTGCAGGAGTGAAGCGGAAATGCTGCAGCAGGGTGGTAAAGAAGATGAAAAGCTCCATCCTGGCTAAACTCTCTGCAAGACAAATCCTGCGGCCTGAAGGGGAGATTGAAACATCAGATATTTCTTTAGTTACAGCAATTCAGCAGAAATTCCTGAACAAACACATACCTGCAGAAAATGGCATGAAGGCATCACGCTTGACAAATTTTCCTTCTTTGTCCAGAAAATGAGCAGGATGAAAGCTGTGGGGTTTCTCCCACTCACTGGGATCATGGAGGACAGAAGTCAGGAGAGGATAAACCGTGGTGTCCTTCAGCAAACACAGAATTAGGGAAACAGAGGAAACAATTTATCAGCTTATTAAATTTTTTTTACCTCTCAGAATAATAAAAGGAAAACAAAAAAATAAAAAGCATGAATTTTAGCCCACATGATGCGTGGTTCTTACACATACCATTCCAATAATCTAATACTTTGTGCAAGTTTAGCTGATTGAAGTTATTGAACTCTTGTAGCTGACAGAAGAAATATTGCTGCAAGTAGAAACT